CCCCCCCAAACTCTCCACCGCAACTGTAAATAGTATCATTTGTCTATAAAATTGCTATAAGTACACCTCTACATAACATTGTATCTTTAACATTAAATAAAACAGAAGGAAATATAGATCAACTTAAAAAGATTATTGACATTGTTTTATAGACTAACAGAAAAGGCTTAAAGTGCATCAATTTGCCTGAAAAAAAAATAAAAAAAATCTATCCTTATTTAAACTGTAAACATTTTTGACCATTTGATACTGAAAAATCAAATTAAATACAAACAATAAATAATAATAAATTCAACTTGATCAGCAACATTTTAAGTCAGGAGTGTTATATACATTATCAGCAAGTCTAAGTCCTCATCCTGTCAGCTGATCCATTTCCCACAGTTCTTGTTAAATCCTGTCTCCCGTCTCTGCTCCCCATCATCACTAACATTATCCACTCCTCCCTAACCTCTGGCATTGTTCCCACAGCTTTCAAATCTGCAGCCATCACCCCCATCATCAAGAAACCAGGTCTTGACTTTACCAACTTCAGTAATCTTCGTCCAATCTCTAATCTGCCCTTTATTTCCAAAGTTCTTGAAAAAGCCGTTGCTAGTCAACTTCACTCTCACCTATCCAGCAATAACATTGATGAAGAGTTTCAATCTGGTTTTCGCCCCCACCATAGCACCGAAACAGCTCTAATAAAAATAACTAATGACCTTCTTGCTGCTGACTCTGCTCTTCTGTCTATCCTCATTCTACTTGATCTAAGTTCTGCCTTCGACACAATCTGTCATTCTATCCTCCTCAACAGACTAACCTCCATTGGCATCTCGGGTACTCCGTTAGATTGCTTCAAATCATATCTCTCTGACTGCACTCAATTCATTCAGCTCAAATCCTTTCGTTCCCAGTCTTCCCCCGTCTCCACGGGTGTCCCCCAAGGCTCTGTCCTCGGACCCCTCCTCTTCATCATTTACATCCTTCCTCTAGGTCACATCTTCCGTAAATTTGGTGTCCATTTTCACTGTTATGCTGATGACACACAGCTCTACCTATCAACAAAACCAAACTCCCCCACCCACCCTCCATCCTCACAGACTGTCTCAATGAGCTAAATCACTGGTTTTCTAACAACTTTCTACAACTAAACAGTAACAAAACAGAAATCATTCTTGTCGGTACTGTAGTGAACTTGACCTGATGTCAAAACTAAGCCTAAGGTCAAAACCCTTGACCTTAAGAACCTAGTGGGACAGAAACTGTCATTTCATTGATTTGAATCCAGAAATACAGGTTCACCCATCCTGAGACTTTCTTTCTTGAAAATTCAAGTGAAAGAACACTCTCTTTTCTATTATCATTCCTGTTTTACAAATGTTTGATAATCAAAGTGTTTTAGTTCAAACATTTTAGATGTTACAGTGAACTAATCAATTTTATTAACTGTAAAACAGTAACAATGATTTTTTAGTTGCTTATGCAAAGTAGAATTCATGTTAAGGCCTGTTACAGAGTAATTATGCATTTTCTGATTTCTGTCTTTGAATGAGCAGTGTACGTTTTCCAAGGTCAGGAGTCGGAGCAGACATGTGTTGGAACAACTGCGTTGTTTTACATCCTCTCAGACGTAAACAGAGGAGTTGGCACCTGTTTCTCCAAACTCGCCAAAACATTTCTCTCGCCTGTCTGGGAACATTTTCAATCTGTTCCAATAACATTCTTGCTGTTTTCTGACTTCTAGTAACCTCTTACATCACAAAACACACCCCTGTCTGGTTGATATTGACCAATCAGGAACGCTCAAATATACCGGAAATAGAGCCCTTTAAATGCCGGTACTTCCTAGTTCTCTCAGTTCGGTGAAGTGGCAGTTCTGTGAAGTCGTTGTTCTGTGAGTTGCCGTTGGAGTCGGGCTGGAGAGTTTGCAGCTCCAGTCGTTTGGGAGAATAGGAGTCCAGCCATGATAAGGCTCCTCCGAGTTTTATGGGATTATAACATCTTCCACCTCTGAGTGGAACTTCTGAAGGACTCCACTCATGTGAAGTCCACTTGCTGAGGTGAGCTTGTGTTGGACGGAATATCTTCACTGCTTCGGACGATTCACAGCCATCCTACGGAGACGCTGAAAGGTAGCGTTAACTGGAACTCCGTATCCGCTGATTCATCTTCAGAGAGGTAACGAGTCAAGTTTACTACCGAGCGTACCGAGGAAAAGCTGGGTTCGAATGGAGAGTGCTGTTTCTGAGTGCCGACATAAACATTCTCCCTCATCCATCTTTCACTCCTTTAAACTCCATCTTTCCATCTTTAAATTCTTCTCTCAAGTAGAAATCATTCCAGATATTTTAGAAATGTCTGTGTAAAGTTTCAACCATCGCCGTATGGTTTTCTAAGTGTACAGCTGCTGATTAATTATGTTGTTAATTTCATATTTTGCCAAATTAATGTAAATGTTTGATGTTAAACTTTGATTCTGTAAATAAATGGCCACATTCATTTTGATGGGTCAAAGATAAATAACGTCTCACGTTACATTTTATTAAATTCAATGCATGTTTTATCCAGTCCAGAAAAATGAGAGAATCCGTTTTAATTGATGAATATATCTAAGCATCTGTTCATCTACATATTGGTGGCCCGTGACGTGTTCATAAATGGACTGTGTATGCGTGTAATAATTGATTTTACATGTTGGCATGAAAAATAACAGATTGTTTGCTGTGCTGGAACGCAGCGTGCTGAAACGCAACGCTTGAAGTCAAAACACTGCATGTTTGAGCTGCGACTCTTGGAGAAAACGCTGTGTTGAGCTAGTGATGTTTTGAAGCTGAAATTCAGTCAATATGCTCTTTATGAAAGCTGAAATTGTACATCTGTTGTGTAACATAAGCTGGGTTTGAGCTGTGGAAACGCTTTATTCTGTTTAAAGACGGTTCAGACGTGGTTCTGGTACCGGCTCGGTTCTGAAAAAGATCGAACGAGTTGTTTTAAATAGATAGAGAAACGTTTTAAAGACTGGACGAAGTCTCAGCTAAGCTCAGAGTTGATTCGTTACATTTTTTAACAGAAAAAAGTGCATTTTGACAGTTTAAAAGACAGAAAAGTTGACGGACTTGTTCAGATAAATCTAACATGCTAGTTGGGAAAACGCTGCGTGATTGGTTGAATTAGCTGCTGTGGAACGCTTTCATTGGCTGAGAGACGTGTCAGTCAGTGACCCGGAAATGAAAACTCGTTTTTCATAGGGAATAAAATCTGCTTTTTAAAGCTGAAAAGCGCTTTACAGTTGATTTTGATCCGCTGCTTAAGTTCTTCAAAGTCTAATTGCTAAAATTTTGCCACGTTAGAGTTTAAAATCCGTCATTAAATGATGTTTTTGAACAACGCTAGCGATGCTAATTTTAAGCTAACAGCTAACGACCGGATGAGTGACGTGGCTACGTCACTTCCTCCATGTCAGATTGTAAAGTTTGGTTGAACCGAAAGCTTTGCTGTGCCTAAAATCACTAAATGTAACTTGCCACATGCCCCTAAAACTCATTGTTCATGCTAAGAAGTCGTGCTTGTTGAAAAAACGCCACGTTTACGCTTCAAAACCGTTCAGAAATGTTGATTTTAACAGAGTTTAGCCGAAGCTAACTTTAAGCTAAGCGGCTAACAACAGGATGTCAACCGAACGTCACAGGAAGTCGTCATAGACTCCTGCTGGTAGAAAGCTAAACACTGCCCCCTCCTGGGAAACTTGAGATCACAGTTTCACTTCAGTTTTAGGTTTTTGAGTGAAATTAAACTTATTTCTTTCTGTAAGGCATTTTTGAGTTAATAAACGTTCCTCAAAGCTGAATAATCACTGTTATCTTGCATTTAAAAAGTCAAGGGTATTTATGCAGAGAGGCATTTACCAACAAACCTTTATTCACTGGTAATTCCTCATTGAGAAGGTAC